ACTCCAACAAGCGGCATCTCCTCGAGACTGTTCCAGCCTACAGCCAACAGCCGGATTCTCCTTCACATGATCGATTGGTCACGACTTGAGGGGAGGGGGGGGAGAGAGATTGTTGATGTGAAAAGGAGGGGGGGCATGGAGTGTTGACAACAACAACACCATCAACAACATGAACAACAACATGAACAACAACAACAACATCAACAACAACAACAACAACAACATCAACAACAACACGAACAGCACCAACAACAACCACCACAACTGACCGCTATACATCCCGTTCTGCGCCATCTTCTTCTTGTTCCTCCTGCGGCGCCGGAAGAGCCAGATACTGAACACACAGAGCGCCAGCCACAAAGTGCCGCCTATACATCCCACCAGCATCCACACAAACCACGGCTCGCTCATTATGTCCGTCTGTTCCGGGCCTGGCAGATGGAACAAACAAAATAACACACACATAATAGAATATTTACATGTATATTCATTGTATTATATGCAAATAGTGAATATTAAAAATACATTCCAGCACAACAACAACACACACATTATATTTCATACTTGTTGGTTTGTTTCGTTTGTTTTTTCGTAAGTGTTTTACGGCGCTCACAACTGCATAAAATCATATGAGCCCACGTTTGTTCGTTTGTTTGTTTGAGTAAAGAGAAGCACATCGACACAATAATGGTCATTTAGTGCTGGGAAAAAGTAAGACAGACAGAAACAACAGAGTGGAAAGTAAAGGAGTAGAACCCTCCAACCACCCACACATTAAAAAATACACATAGTGAAAATAAAACTGTCTATCATGCACGTGACAAACATAGTAATTGTTTTATTTCAGTAAGAGTTTTTTTTTAAATAGTAGAGGTTTTACGGCGCTCGCAACTGCATAAGGTCATATGAGCGCCAAGGGGTGGATGTCAACAGAGAAGTCCAAACGGGAAATCAGGCCTACTCTGCTCACCTCTCTAGCTTCAACGGCACTAAAGTTTGCTTCGACTATCAAGGCACTCCGGCAAGAGAGTGACAAAGATACACAAAAAAAGCAGAGGAAAATGACGATAGTAAGGATGAGGAAAGAAAAAGTAGCAGTTCCCCCCTATGTTGTTCCGGCCCAGTATGAGCATGACATTGATAAATCAGCCTATTTACAATTCTACTGTGCTTAAGAACATGTTAATAATATATCCTCCCTTTTGGAACGGCCTAAAGACACTTCAGTCAGTACCGCACGCGGGGAGGGTGGGTGG